TTTTAAGACTTTTCCTAGATTGGCCCAGACAATAGAAAAAGTTCAGTGTTGCTTTTATTCTCATTTCCATGTAAGCTGTACAAAAAAAGGTACAAAGATGGTCTTCAGGTCAAAATGACCCGTGAGGCAAATGGAGTTGAAATCAAGGTCACAGAGTTATTTACAAACCACAGAATGTTACAAAGTTTTAGTTGTGTCTCAGATCAATCAGTAGCAGAAGTAAACAAGGCAAACCAGGTGGTGTTCTCGCAGACTTCAGAAGACCACCTGTTATTTCAAGAGGTTATAAAGGTGCTGCATAACAGGACCCTGTATTGTGTCTGTGCTGAAGCCATGAGTGTGCGCTATAACACTGAAGAGGCTTTAGAGGTGATTTTCTCACATCCAGCAAGACAAGTCTGATTCAGAAGAGGAAGTGGAGGATGTATCCGAAGAAGAAGATGGAGAGAAATACAACCCAGAGCATGATGAATCATCTTCAGAAGAAGAAAACCCTGAAGCTGAAAGTGAGACTTTTCTTTCAAAAAATGGCAAAATAACATGGTCCTCAGCGGCATATGACCAACACGGCAGGCATGCAGAACAAAACATTGTAAAGATGACCCCAGGACCCACAAGGTATGCCGTTTCTAATGCCCATGATATTGTTTCTACATTCTACCTGTTTATCACACCAGCAATAGAAAAAATAATGCTGGATATGACAAATCTGGAGGATTTTCACAAATATGGAGACAGCTGGAAAAAGATGGATGAGACTGACCTGCAGGCCTACTTAGGGCTGCTAACCTTAGCAGGTGTATACAGGTCCCGAGGTGAGGATGCAGCTAGCTGTGGCAGAGGGACTGAGGGGTCACAAGGTGACATGTGACAATTTCTTCACCTCATATGAACTCGGACAGCAGCTCCTGAAGAGGAAGATCACCATGGTTGGTACAGTTCGAAAGAACAAGCCTGAGCTCCCACCTGCACTGCTTGGGTCAAAGGAGAGAGAGGTCTTCTCCTCAAAGTTTGCCTTCACACCCACCACCACTCTAGTTTCCTACCTCCCAAAGAAAGCACTGAGTACACAGACGGCGACATTAGTGATTGTGAGGACAGGAAGCCAATCATCATCCTGGAATTCAACCGAAACAAAGGAGGTGTGGACAACCTAGATAAGGTGATTGGAACATATAGCTGCAGAAGAATGACTGCCCGCTGGCCCCTGGCCATCTTCCACAACATCATTGATGTGTCCTCCTACAATGCCTTTGTGATTTGGAGAGAGATCAACCCGACCTGGATGTCTCATAAGCACAAGAGGAGGGTGTTCCTGGAGCAGCTAGGAACGGCACTTGTAAGTCCACTCATTGAAAGAACGAAGCATGTCCCCCGCACAGAAGCCTCAGCAGCAGTTGTGAAAGCTATTCAGAGTGCAGCAGCTCCTGATCAACCTGAGGATCCATCTACCACAGCCACTTCCCCAGCTAGGACAAGTAAGAGGAAGAGATGTCAGTTCTGCCCTCAAAAGAAGGACTGTAAAATACATACTGTGTGCTGCAGGTGTAAGAAATATATCTGCAAAGGCTGTGCACTTGCATACTGCCCTACATGTGCTAATTAGTTGAATGGGTTATGTTATTTTTCATATTTTTGTATTGTACATTCTCTTAAATTGTTCACTGGAGAAAAGTAAAAGAAACGGAGTCATTGGGATGAATAAAAATAAATAAATTCAAAACTCCTCTTTGCACATTTTTGTCTTTTCTTATGATATAGAAATCCAAGTGGAGAGGGAAAACTCAAGTATTCACACATTTTGTGGTGAATGATAATATGCAAGATGAAATTTGGTGTTTAAAATTCAATTAAGCTGCTTAGATTGGGGATTTAGTGGAGACGGGTCATTTTGTATAGAGAAAATGAGGACAACAGGAGGTTAATCTCATAGTATCTTCCCCTGTGTTTAAATACTTTTTTGACAGTTATCAGTAAAAGGTCAATATCAGCCAAGATAAGATGTAATATAAAAGTGTGTTTTTATTCAGACTGAAACAACTATCATCACCTAGTAGCTTAGCTTTGACTTTGTAACGGTGGACTTATAACATCCCATCATTCATTCCTAATTATTCATAAGTGGATATGCTTGGTCTCTTGGACAATGCATGTACAACAAATGCAACACTTTTCATGTTCTTTTTGAAATCCCTTGTAAACTGTGATTTCATTTCCACCTCATTTCTGCTCTACTTTGCTAGTAATAAAATTCCCAATAAAATATACTAAAGTTTGTTTCTTTACATAAATTCTTTCTCAAGGCACTGCTAGTCAAGAATGTGATGTTTTTGATGGGATCTGTTGGACCACAAGATGGCACTGACGTCAAGTAATATGCCACAGGAAATGTAATACTTTTAAGTGGGAACATCAACTTGTGTAACTGTCTCCAGCTTCTCAGATCAGGTTTTAAATCACGATACAGCTGCAAATAACAATAACTTTCTTTAAGTGTTGTTTAACCTTCTGTAGGTTTTTGTCTTTGACTACGCTCCTCATGTATGAGAGTGTACAAATTCTCCATAAGCTCTTGGAGGGACTTTAACTGTATAGCCAGCAGCTTTCATTGCTCTCCTGTAATAATTGGCAACTGACACAAAGAGAGTGATCCAGACAATAGTGGATGACACATTTATTTACATTAACATGTCACAGAATATTATTTGAAAAAAAAATGAAAAAAAAAACAGAAGATAAAAATAGCCCTCTGGGGTGGTAAAAGTGCATCAGCTCCTTTCTGCATGGTGTATAAGTGAGTAGAGGGTAAAATAACTTGGCATGTCCTCTATTTTTTGCTTGTGATGCAGATGCGCTGGTATGACTTGTGGTTTGCATGTGAAAAAGACAAAGTCAAGGCCTATACCTATGCATGTACAACAAACAGACACAGTAAGTCATGCAGTCATGAGTTTGTTTCCCTTTCCTTGTCCTTCAGCTGGCTGCCAAAAATGTTTTCCAAGTGAAATCTAAATTGACATTTTGCAACACTGGATCAGCAGATAATGTGGACTCGTACATGGCAAATAACAGCAGAAGGGAGGAGGGGCTTGTTTTGCAAAAAAGAAGAAAAAGAAAGAAAAAAGGTCACAGTTGGAGGAAGACATGTATTGCCCCCTGTGCCACAGAGCACAGAATGGCATTAACCTAATGAGTCTTTACATAGTAATTAAAGCCTCCCCACTCAATGATACGCCACGCTCTGCTGCACAGACTGAGAATTAATTAGCAGTACCAATCAATGATATTATCTGTGGATGTTAGTTGGTTAAAAAACTCAGGCAGGCAGTGGCATTTAGCTGTGATTAATGAATTAGCCTTCCCTACAGCCTTGGCTGCAATCTTGAAAAATCTATTCCATTTCAAAGTGACCTCCGGTTGGAACACCCATACGATAAGCATCCAAATGCAACAAAACTCACACATGACCATACATGATCTTCAAAAGGGAACAGCAAACAGCGGCGCAGATTATGCAGAAGTTGATGTCAGAAGACATCCTGTCTGAGGTTCCTTACATTCTTAGATGAGATTATCTTCAGGGTTGTGCGATCAACTGGTGTCAACACACAAAGCTGCAGAACAGCAAACACTGCGCTGGTTAAAGTGATGATTTTATTTTTGATCAGTGATTCAATGGCTTAGACTGTACAGGAATTTCCAAGTAGAATACATTTTTCTCACAAAGTGTACTCAGCTTAAAGATTGTTTCCCCCCATCCCCGAAGTATTCACCAACTACCACTCCAAGAAAACATTTATTTATTTAACAGGGGCATGTATTCAAATCATGTGATTTGCAAACACCAAAAATATATATAGCAAAAAAGTAAATATGTTTTCTTTATTTCTTATGAAAATGCTATATGCGTATTTCAAATATGACTAAAAAAAATTTGACTTGGACATCTAATGCCTTGAAATTGGTCCTCTCTTTAAAATATTCCAGTTCTTATGCAACTCCGAATTCAGGAAGTCATCACAAAAGCACCTCTCTATTAATCCCTTAGCAACGTTGTTATAATTTGAGTAACGTAAGGGACTTTTTGCATCTCATCTGATTGAAAAAACATCTTCAAATTTGGCTCTTGGAAAAATGTAGATGTTTTATGTATTTCTAATTCCGTAGTGTTATTTTATGTTTTTATTCACTGTACTTATCTTTGTGCTGTGGCAGATACAATATATATATATATATATATATATATATATATATATATATATATATTTCACTCCAGAATGTATGCTCTCATTGTGAAAGGTGAAGAAGAGACCAACATTTGTCTTCCATTCTATTTTTGGTTGGAAGACATTGAGAATAAAGCAAGACTCAAATGACTCTTCTTCTTCTGCTGACTTTCACAGTGGTGACCCCGAACATCTGCGAACGTCTGAACATGTTTTTGAATGAGAACTCACCAGATGCTACCGCCGCTTCTATGCCAGCTGTGGTTTCAGACCCAGTTTCTTGCCAGAAATTGCAAGTCGTCCAAGCTGATGGAGAAGATGTTGGTGTTATTTGGCTCAAGAGATGTTTTCTTCCTTTTTATGCACCTCTTTCTGTGCCAGTTTTCTCCACTTGTTTGTTGGCCAGCTCCCCGCTGACTGGACAAAGGATTGTCGCTCCCTGGCTGAAGAAGCGAACTGGATTTTGTTGGCTTCCAGAGGCTACAGTGTAAATGCACTTTTACTAGGTGTGACTCAAGGAGAGTCGTAGCCTGTTGATGCCATGGCTGCTGTGACGGAGGGACAGAATGACAACATTCTCTGAACAGTTCTAAATGGGGAATCTAGATTTTTGCCCCGCTGGTACCACATCACTGCCTTCCACAGGTGTTTGTGGCAAAAGACCTGATGTCTGCCGAGTATGTGTTTATCCGCCATGACTCACACCATTCAGCCTCCTTAAAGTGGTCCATTCCGTGTTTTGGAGAGTGGACCTAAGTATTTTTTGGTGTAGTTGGGGGGTAATCAGAAGAGTATTTCAGTGGACCATTTGAAGCCAGCTCATGTGTTACCAGGGGACCAGTTGAGTTGGCTCAGCCACCTCACCGTGGTCATCCCCAGTTTCTTTACCTACTCTTCCCGGGTTCTTCCCTCACATCTGGTTTGTCCCCCTCAGGTGGACAGTTCAGTAGCAGTTGATCCAGAGACTCTCACTGCCAGATGTACTCAACAAGTTCTAAGCTCGCTTTGAGGATCCTAACATCTCCCTCAGCACCAGACTACTACCACCAACTGGTGACAATCCTCTCTGTGTGATGTAGTTGACTGTAGCTGCAGGCAGACCCTGCTTTAAATACACTTTGAAACCACGACAACGCATGTATATCTATATAGTTATCATTGAAAACAATTTAATGACTTATTTTCATCAGAACTTGCTGTGTATGGTGACTGGGACTTCTTAATGCGCATGCGCAGGCATGGTA